TACTACTACTACTACTACTACTAACCCAGAGGTCCCGACCCTTTCCCCATGACCGGCTTTGCATCCTGAGTCGTATTTTGACACTCCCGAGGCCCGGTGAGGGCCCCCGGAGGCCGAAAATTAGGAAAAACCTCCCGTCATGATTTTTCATTACTCGAGGGGGTCTGGGAAGGCCTCGGGCGGGCTCAAACAGGGGTCGTGTGTGCACGAACGCAATGGGCTCGCTGTACGCCGCCTTCGGACATGGCTTACCTGGGCCACAGTGGATGTACGGAGCCCCCTCCCCCACCCCCTTTCCCTCCTCCATCGGCGCTCCTCGGCACTCTTCGGCGCTACCTCTCCTCCTGCACCTCCTGCTCCTCCTGCTCCTCCTCCTCCTGCTCCTCCTCCCTCCTCCTCCTCCATCCTCCTCCTCCTCCTCCTCCTCCTCCCCTTCCTCTTCTCCTTCCCCCCTCCTCTTCCTCTTCTCCTTCCCCTCTCGGCACTCCTCGGCACTCCTCCGCACTCCTCGGTATTCCTCGCTCCGCACTGCTCGGTATTCCTCGGCACTCCTCGGTAATCCTCGGCGCTCCTAGGCGCTCCTAGGCATTCCTCCCTCTCCTCCTGCTCCTCCTGCTCCTCCTCCTCCTCCTGATCCTCCTGCTCCTCCTCCTCCTCCTTCTTCCTCCTCCTCCTCCTCCTCCTCCTCCCCTTCCTCCTCTCCCTCCCCCCTCCTCCTCCTCTTCTCCTTCCCCTGTCGGCACTCCTCGGCACCCCTCGGCACCCCGAGGCATTCCTCGGCACTCCTCGGCCCTCCTCGGCACTCCTCGGCATTCTTGGCACTTCTCGGCACTCCTCGGCACTCCTCCTCCTCCCTCCCCCCCTCCTCCGATCCTCCTCCGATCCTCCTCCGATCCTCCTCCTCCGACCTCCTCCTCGCCGTTCACCTCCTCTTCCTCCTCCGGTCCGTGTCCTCATGTTCCTTTCCCCTCCTTGCAAAACCCCCAGGAGGATTCGAGGTAGGAAGCGGCGCTCTTTTTTTCGGCCAAGCGGCGGGGACCATCCTGTGTGACTGGGGGGTGTAATCTCTTACACCCCCCCTCGGCCCTTGAGGCTGCAAACATCACCAGGACCTAGCTCAAATTAACGGACGCCTTTTCAACCTAAGCGGCCGTGGTGGCAAAGTTATGCTAAGCATGCACAGAGTAGACACCCGGATGAACATTACCGTCACGCCGGACAGTGAGCTCAAATCCAGGTTGGTTCTGACGTCAAAACAAATCGACAGCATCAGTACAACACATGACAGGCTTATCCAGACATCGTACGGGCTTATCTAGACATCCTTCTTTCCACATGCACGCACATGAACTTCAAAATCCAATAGGCACAGCCGCGCCACTGCCTTCAACGGCCATCTGGGGCCCCACGGTGACCTCGAGATCTCCTCACAAGAACCCAGGACAGTCCCGAGACATCCCACATGAACTCCGTGAGAGCCCGTCCAACGTGGCAACGAAAGGCGTCACATGTCATAGCCTTTCCTCCTCGTCCTCGTCGTGGCCACCATCGCCACCATCATCATCATCATCATCATCATCATCATCATCATCATCAGCAGCATCACCATCACCATCATCATCATCATCATCATCATCATCATCATCATCATCATCATCATCATCATCATCATCATCAGCATCATCATCAGCATCAGCATCAGCATCAGGATCATCATCAGCAGCAGCATTATCATTATCATCATCATCATCATCATCGTCGTCGTCATCGCCATCATCGTCGTCATCGTCGTCATCATCTTCTTCACAATCAGAATCGGCATCATGTTCATCATCCCCCTCACCCGCCTCAAAGATTATCCTGCTCCGTATGGTCGTGTCATGCTTTGGATCCACTTCACCATTCCCCTCTCCTCTTCATCTCCGAGAAACAAGAAACATCACGGAATTTCAGAAGCGAGAGTGGCAACCCTTAACACTGTATATTCATTCTTGGTGGCGCATACGCGAACATACAATCAACTTTCAATTGAAGGACGTAGCTGGTGAAACACCCAATCAGCCGGTGAACTGATCAGCCGGTGAAGGGTCCCATTTGGCCGGTGAAGGGTCCCACTTGGCCAGTGAGGAGACCAATAGCCAATAACCTCTCACTTCGGCACACCCATCACGTCTCGTGGCCCCATAGGAGCTCCGCCGAAGGTCCCATTGGCACAGTCCGCATGCGTCCCCGCCTCTCATTTCGGCACACCCCTCACACGCTTCGTGGCCCCATTGGAGCTCCGCCGCAGGTCCCAGTGGCACAGTCTGCACGCGTCCCCGCCATTCATTTCGACACACCCCTCACACGTTTCGTGGCCCCATGGGAGCTCCACCGAAGGTCCCAATGCCACCGCCCGCGTGCGTCCCCCCCTCTCATTTCGGAGAGGTGATCCGGAGAAGGCGGCCGGAGAGGTCCAATCCGGAAGCCGGAGGCTGGAAGCCGGAAGCCGGAACCCAGAAGCGGGAAGCCGGAAGCCGGAAGCCAGAAGCCAAAAGCCGGAAGCCGGAAGCCGGGAGCCGGGAGCCGGAAGCCAGAAGCCGGAAGCCAGGAGCCAGGAGCCGGGAGCCAGGAGCCGGGAGCCGGATGAAACCAGAAACCGGAGGCCGGAAGCCGGACCCGGTAGGGATTCACTCGGGATCCCGAAGTATTCCTTCGAAGGCTCCCTATAGGGATTCCTAAAGATTTTCCTTAGGATTCCTAAGGATTCCCTGTAGGCTTGCAAAGGATGCCCTAGGGATTCCTCAGGATTCCTGGCGGATTCTTAAAGATTCCTCACGGATCCCTAAGGATTCCCTAGGGATTCCCTAGGGATTCCTAAGGAGTCCAACGGATTCCAATGGATTCCTTAGGGGGTCCTAAGGATTGCCAAAGGATTCCATCGGATTCACTCGGGATTGCTCCGGATTTCCTAAGATCTCCTGACGCTTCCTGGGGATTCTTTGGCATTCCCTAGGGATTCCTCAGGGTTCCCAAAGGATTCCTCACGATTCCCAAAGGATTCCTGAAAGATTCTCACAGGATTCCTTAGGATACCCTACGGGATTCCCTACGGGATTCCCTAATGGTGCCCGAAAGATTCCCTAAGGATTCCCCAGGGATTCCGAAGGATTCCCAGAAAGGATTCCTAGGGACTCCCTGCGATTCCTTCAGGATCCCCTAGGGCTTCCGCAGGACTCCTCGGGGATTCCGGAGGATTCCCTAAGGATCCCTAAGGGATGTGCGCGTGTGTGTGTGTGTGTGTGTGTGTGTGTGTGTGTTAGTGTGTGTATGTGCGTGTGTTTGTCTGTCTGTCTGTCTGTCTGCCTGCCTGCCTGCCTGCCTGCCTGCCTGTCTGTCTGTCTGTCTGTCTGTCTGTCTGTCTGTCTGACTGTCTGTCTGTCTGTGTGCGTGCGTGCGTGCGTGCGTGCGTGCGTGCGTGCGTGCGTGCGTGTGTGCGTGTGTGTATATATAGCGCAGCCCAAGTCAACTTACTGGACTGGATGAGGATGGACATCATCCCGCAAAGATCACAATTTGGGAACGTACTCCCTAATGGGCGCCCCAGGAGTCGTTGAATGAGCAGGCCCTAAAAGATCCTGCCGCCCTGAGCAGATACACCGAGCAGCTGCCCGAAGGTAACCTTTGGGAGGCTTCGGGAGTTTCGTGGCCTGTGGACCGCCTTTTGCGGTCTTGGAGATCTTCCGGACGTCCAGAGGGCCCCTGTGACTATCTCGGAGGTGTTTGGGAGGTCCCTTGGAAACCCTGGGCGCAAATGATATGGAGCAGCTCAAACTGTCCAAGGGCTGCCAAGTTCAGTCGAAGCCGCATCGGGCGCTGCATTGGGAATGCCTTGGGTCGAACTGTGCCTTGCTGGGAATCGTCAAGATGTTGCACGACATACTCGAACTCTGTCCGTTCTGCCAAACCCTCGATGGCTCCTCTACCCCGCTGCTGCTGCTGTGGGGGAGGGAAGCCGCCTTTATTGCTCGAGCCCAAGCGCCGGCGCTGCATACACGCATGTTAGTCACTTGCAACATCCTAGAATCCCAGGGCAAGTCCTCCAGGAAATCTCAGAAATCGCACACGACATACTGTACCAGACGCGGCTCACACTTCTAATGGAGGCGACGCCCAGCACGACTTCGCGCCAGAGGTGTGCATGCAGGGCGACTCCCCCTGTCTTCTGGAAGGCGACCAGGAAGGCCCCAGGAAGGAGCGCAAGGCAGCCACGTGGAGGACCCAGGGCAGCCCATGGGGGGACGCCTGAGAACTCCTAACAGCCTGGGGAAACCATGCTGGGAGGGGAAGCACACACGCACACACACACACACACACACACACACACACGCACGCACGCACGCACGCACGCACGCACGCACGCACGCACGCACGCACGCACGCACGCACGCACGCACGCACGCACGCACGCACGCACGCACGCACGCACGCACGCACACACACGCGCACACACACACACACACCTTCTTCCCCTTCGGAGAGAAACATTTGCCTCTCCCCGTGCCCACTCTCCTTGGGTCTGGAAGGATGGGCGCAGCGATGAGGTAGCGCGTCCCAGATGGCTCAAGATACCCCAATAGGGCCTCGGATAGCCCGAGATGGCTGGTACATTTAGTTCGCAATATGCCTCGAGCAAGCCCCTAAGAGCGCCCCAAGACGGTTCAAAGTGGCCACGCGTGAGCCTGCCAAAGGCACCCCCCCGAGAGGCCCAGTCCTTCTCGCCGTCTCGCGTCTGGTCTCGTGAGGCCTCTAGATGGTTCGAAGATGGCCCAAGAGAGCCCCAAACGGTGCCCAAGACGGCCTCCAACGAACCCCGAGAGGGCCCCAACAAGCAAATTGTCGGCCTTTGATGGGGAGTGGAACCGTCATTGAGAACCCCCGTTCCTTGATCAACGGCCTCCAGGATGGCCTCAAGCGCGCCCCCACGATGGCTCCAAGAGGTTTCCCGAGCGTGACTGCATGCTGCTACAAATCCCTGATCAGGCCGGTTCGCCTGGTGATTCTTTTTGGATGGGCTGGTGGGGATACGCTAAGCGCAAGGCATTTCAGTGCTGCTGGTTTGTCGCCATCTCCGATGTCAGTAAAGCCATCTGCGGCCCCTGGACCGCCACAGGACTTGGCGTGGGAGAACCGACGCTGAGGCTGAGGTGGACAGCTCTGGGGGCTTGTACCTTTTCCACATCACAGAAATCATCAACAAAAACTTGCAGCAAAAGGCATGATCTCTGCGGGCCGAACATGGACAGCGAAAGCAAACCGCCCGATCCCTGCTGATCGTGCTCATCCTGAGCATGGGAAATCACTCGAGGCTTGCATCAAACGGGGAAGTGCCGAACGCAAGCTGCCGTATGCATCGACGCCTGCGTGTGGTCATCTTCTCCCAGCAGCCCTCCGATGGCGAACCCAGCACGATGGAGGTGCTTGATGTAGAAATTGAGGTACTGAGTGCCCTGCTGTGTGTGCCCACGGGCAATCTTCATTTCTAGCACCCCGAATTTTGTCCAGCCCATCCCTTCACTCTGAACTTGGAAACGAAGCCCGCCGGTCTGCCTCGCCTCCGCCCAAGCCCCTGTAATATTCACTTCTTGGAAGTACATGTCTGAGCAGTGCCCCCCCAGTTGTTGTGCCAAGGCCTCTACGTTAAGCAGCGTCTTCTCGGCAGGCTCTCCCTGTGGAATCTGTATCAAGACGTGCTTGCCAGGCTGCATCAAGTCGAACCGCTCACCAAAGATGTTCTGCAAGTGCGGATCGCCAGTAGCAGCCACAGCTCCGCCGGCTCCAGCCGCGCCCATCGCCGGGGGAGCGAAACCGGCAGGAAATGTAGGATGCGGCGTCGGCCAACCTGGAGGGTATGTCGGGCTCGGCGTCGGGCTGGGCGTCGGGAAGGCCGTCGGGAAGGCCGTCGGGTAAGCAGTCGGGAACGCCGTCGGGAAGGCCGTCGGGAAAGCCGTCGGGTAAGTAGTCGGGAAGGCCGTCGGGAAGGCCGTCGGGTAGGGAGTCGGGTAGGGCGTCGGGAAAGCCGTCGGGTAAGGCGTCGGGTAGGGCGTCGGGTTGGGCGTCGGGTCTGGCGTCGGGTTGGGCGTCGGGTTGGGCGTCGGGTTGGGCGTCGGGTTGGGCGTCGGGTTGGGCGTCGGGTTGGGCGTCGGGTTGGGCGTCGGGTTGGGCGTCGGGTTGGGTGTCGGGTTAGGCGTCGCCGCCGTGTACTCAATGTTGATCTCCAACCTGGAAGTACAATAAGTGCTCACAGAATAACCAGGACTAATGGAGTTGCTACCCCAATTCCAGTTCGGGATGCCACTCGGGTAAGTTGCGCTCGAGGCGGTGCACGCGATGCAAACGCCGCAAGCACAATTCGTCGGCGATCCACAATATCCTGAGGCGGTCGTGCCTGCCAAAACCATTGAGAGAGTCCCAGCACTGCACTTAGCCCCGTATGCCGTTACAGTCCAACTGGTGACCGTGCCCAGGTTAACGCCACCGAAGTTCACATTAGCCCATGCCACATCGTAACCTGCGCCGTTTTGGCCGAGGCAGTTGTACCCTGATCTGCCACAAAGCGAACAGTGGCCCGAGGTACCATACACGGTGTGTGGGTTTTGCGCCTGGCGTGATTGTTCTGTGCTGTTCTCGTCGAATTCTACCACAACTTTCACCTGGCCCACACCGTCGTCCGTTTCGTGGACGACGACGGGGGGCATTGGTGCAGGTTCACTCTGCACGACATCAGGGTCCTCCTTCCTGAGATGCTGCTGCATCAAATGAACGTCGACGTGGCGGCGCTCAAGCGAGCCGAGGGGGCCTGATTCTGCTGCCATAGTAGACGCAACACTGATGAGCCCCATATAGAAATACATCATGAGATCCATTGCCACTTGTACGGAGTGTACCGGATGTGCGTATGCCTGCAAAAGTGGTGAATCACTCTTGAGACTACTACGGAAGGGAGCTCCCGAGGCTCGTAGTCGAAATCGAACTTTGTCGGGCGTCTGGGATTGGAAGGGGGAGATCAAACAAGGACGCAATCAAGCAAGGCCCGCATCAATAACACGCTTTCGCGTTGCGGCGCTTGTTGGAACCGCGTGGACGCCCTGAATCCCGAAATCGCAATCTTCAAACTTGGAGGCCGCAAGGAAGATCCGTGTTTCTCCGCGGTGGAACCTGTTGGAAGCAGAATGTGGGGTCCGTACTCGGGACCTCTTGGAACCGCTGTTTCGAGGCCTCCGTGGCAGCCTTGAGGGCCTTTAGGAGCCATTGGCCTCTGAGCCGCCGGTGGGTCTTTTGACGCTGTTTTGGGACCGTCTCGGGCCCATCTTGGGGTCATTGTGGGCCGTACTGAGCCGCGCTGAGGGCGTTCGTGGGCCTCTCTTTTTGGAGCGTCTCCTCTTGAGCCCTCTACGGGCCTCATTCCTTCTCAGCGGTCATTCAAACATGCCCGGTGAGTCTTGCAGCGTGGAAGCCCTCCTGGGAGTGCCAAGAGACAGACCCCCAAGACACCCAGAGAAAACTCCACGAAACTTTTGGACAAACATCCGAAGAGACTTCGAGAGGCATGCAAGAGGCTTCTGCCCTTTCTGTTCGCCCTCCACCTCCTCCTCCTCCTCCTCCTCCTCCTCCTCCTCCATCGTCCTCCTCCTCCCCCTCCTCCTCTGCATTGTCCTCATCCGCCCGTTCCTCCTCCTCCATCGTCCTCCTCCTCCTCCGCCTCCTCCTCCTCCTCCTCCGATTCCTCCTCCGTCCTCCCGCCTCTTGGAGTAGGACGTCTTACCCAGCCCATTATCCCACCAGCCTTTTGGGCGACAGGTGGCCTAAGGTGGCCCACAACCCCTCCTCTCCCCTGCCGGGAGAGGAGCGCCCCCCCTCCCCTCCGTGAGGTTTTTGTTCGACGATTTCGCGAGGTGTCGGAAGCTCCTTTGTCGGCCACTGGGAGGGCCAATTTTGACACCAGTAGGATCGTGGCCCCCGAGGGAGGCACGCACATCGAGGACCCCCTTCCTTTGACCGATCGCCTCCAAGATGGGCCTAAGAGTTTGAAGGGGACCAGTAGGCCCGACCAGAAGCTACGCCTCAGGCGCAGCACAGCTCCTGCTCTGTTGTATAGTAATAACGATAGTCCCAGTCGTCGAAGGTCGTCGCGGGAGCGACGGGCCATCTCAAGCGAAGGATGTTTTCGGTCTCGATGGCGAATCGTATGCCTCGCACTGAGGCGCGATCATATGTTGGCGGCCGGCCGCTTGAACACAAACGGCCGCGGACAAACGCTCGGGGGGGAGGAACACGAGGCGTGAGTCCGCCGCCCCTATACAGCAAACGCTACGTACAACAAGACAGCAAAAGGCGGGTCCAAAAGGAAGGTGGGCCCGCACGCAACTTACCTTGCAAGTACATTGCTGTGCACGCGATTACTCCTCAGGCGGCCTCAGAAGAAGTTGTCTGGCCAGTCCGATAAAGAGCATGAAGCTTTAAGTCATGCTTGAAGGATCGCGTGCCTCCCGTGACCTGTAGGAGCATATCTCTATCGATGCTCCTTTTTGTGTGACCGTCCGCGGCCATATCGCGAGAGACACACCACTGAATGCTATGCACGATTCCTCGCTCCATCCTTTGTCGTATCCAACTGATGTGTCCCAAAAGAGTACAATCAGTCGGTTTCTACAGGTCTTTGCTTGGCAAGAATTTGAACATATACTCGGCATCTATGGTCAAAATGACCTTGATGCTCAGGCCACAAAATTCCAGCGTTTCTTTCCACTGAGTGGGTGTCAGTGAACCTGCATGGAGCTCGTGCAGAATCACGATCGTGGGATCGCAGTCCTACAGGTTGTGGACTGCTGCAAGTGTTTCTGCTGAGTCGCTCGAGCGGACCTGCAAGCGGTGAGACTTGCAGTGCGCATCGATAGTGGACGACGGGCTTACTGGATGGCGTGTTTCCGCGCCGTAGCAGGTTTGCCCCGCGAGCGCCGTAGCCTCTGACCTCGTCATCGGCGTCTTCACTCACGCGTCGATAGCCGGAGAAGCTGTGCAGGTCAACGTCGCCCGTTGGAGTCATCGATTGATAGATGATCTTCTTAGGGCAGGCCTGCAGCTGTTTGGCAATCGCATTAAATCGTCGCGCTTGTATGTTGGTCGTTTCTTGGACACGTTGTAGAAAGACGACCACATATGCCATCAACCACACTTGTGTGATTGAGGCGTAAGCCAACGGCTCCGCGAACAGCCAGCGCCGCGGCTCGCCCAGTACTTCGGCCAGCGCCACAGCACCATTGACCGTGCCCGAGCTCGCGACCTCGTCCGCCGGCACCTCCTGTCCAAACTCGGGCGCGCTGGTGTCGGCCACCCGCCAGGCATTGCCACTGCCCGCGGTGGGCGCTGCTGGGGCGCCGTCGGCGCCCATGGTGGCCGCCAGGCGGGTCGCAGCGGCGTGATAGCCGAGGAGCCCCGCGTCGCCGATCGCCGCCAGCATCGCGCAGTCCCCTGCCGCCCGCGCCGGCACTGCCGCGCCACGCGCCAGGGGGACGAGCTCGCACGTGGCGAGGTCGAGCACCTCGAGCACCCCGCCAGGTCCGATCGGGACCCACCTCGCCTGCTTGATGCGTCGCAGCAGCGCGCGATGTTGCCATGCCTCGGGGTACCCTTCCAGCGCAGCAGGAACTTGGGATTCTTCAGTGCTCAGGGTTCGCTCCATAAGCGACGGACTTCTTGCGAGGCAATCGTGGCCAGCAGCTCGTCGCTACGCCGAACAAGCTGACGCACACCGCCCGCCGCCGGTCGCCGCCTGCGCGGGCGCGTGGCCGTCGCGGGTGGCCCCCGCAGCACCCCGTTGGCGGCAGCAGCCGCCACGCCCCCCGGCCAGGCAGAGGCCGAGGAGGAGCACGAGCAGCCCCGCCACCCCAGCGATGACCCCCAGCACTGCCGCCGCCAGCCGCCACCGCTCCAGAGCGGCCTGCTGGCTAAGGAGCTGGTGCAACTCCTCCTCACAAGTACAGGCCGCGCACGTCTCGCACGGCGCGGCGTCGGGCTCGTCCCACGTCGCGTGGCCCACCGGCGGCAGGAACCACGTCGGCCAGTGGACGTCGCCGAACGCCCAGTGCCCGACCCAACCCACCAGCGCGGCAAGAACAGAAGACCCAGCCAAGCCCTGGTCCATGGGGCGCCGGGCGGGCGCTCGGGCGCTGGAGCCGAAACGGCTATGGACCAACCCCTCCCGCACATGGAAAGACAGACGCTGAAAGCGCACACACAGACACACACACACACACACAAACATACACACAGACAGCACGAACTGCATGCCGCGTTCGGCTTGCAACACCGTGGTTGTCCAGCATCGCGTGTGTTTGCGCGTAGGCTGGGTCCACCAGTACGGGAAAGGGGCTGGTCCTCTCGGTTGAGTGCTTTCAAGAGCAGCGCGCTGGGTATGTACGTCGGTGTTGGGTGGCTGCGCAGCGGACCGCGCCCCACCCACGTACTTCCCCCCTCACCCACCGCCGCCTGCATCGTTTGCCTTGGCGCGCGGCTTGGGCTGAGACGGTGCGAAGCTACGGCGTTCCGCATAGGCGGCAAACAAACAAACACACACACACACACCTTCTTCCCCTTCGGAGAGAAACATTTACCTCTCCCCGTGCCCACTCTCCTTGGGTCTGGAAGGATGGGCGCAGCGATGAGGTAGCGCGTCCCAGATGGCTCAAGATACCCCAATAGGGCCTCGGATAGCCCGAGATGGCAAGCCCCTAAGAGCGCCCCAAGACGGTTCAAAGTGGCCACGCGTGAGCCTGCCAAAGGCCCCCCCCCGAGAGGCCCAGTCCTTCTCGCCGTCTCGCGTCTGGTCTCGTGAGGCCTCTAGATGGTTCGAAGATGGCCCAAGAGAGCCCCAAACGGTGCCCAAGACGGCCTCCAACGAACCCCGAGAGGGCCCCAACAAACAAATTGTCGGCCTTTGATGGGGAGTGGAACCGTCATTGAGAACCCCCGTTCCTTGATCAACGGCCTCCAGGATGGCCTCAAGCGCGCCCACACGATGGCTCCAAGAGGTTTCCCGAGCGTGACTGCATGCTGCTACAAATCCCTGATCAGGCCGGTTCGCCTGGTGATTCTTTTTGGATGGGCTGGTGGGGATACGCTAAGCGCAAGGCATTTCAGTGCTGCTGGTTTGTCGCCATCTCCGATGTCAGTAAAGCCATCTGCGGCCCCTGGACCGCCACAGGACTTGGCGTGGGAGAACCGACGCTGAGGCTGAGGTGGACAGCTCTGGGGGCTTGTACCTTTTCCACATCACAGAAATCATCAACAAAAACTTGCAGCAAAAGGCATGATCTCTGCGGGCCGAACATGGACAGCGAAAGCAAACCGCCCGATCCCTGCTGATCGTGCTCATCCTGAGCATGGGAAATCACTCGAGGCTTGCATCAAACGGGGAAGTGCCGAACGCAAGCTGCCGTATGCATCGACGCCTGCGTGTGGTCATCTTCTCCCAGCAGCCCTCCGATGGCGAACCCAGCACGATGGAGGTGCTTGATGTAGAAATTGAGGTACTGAGTGCCCTGCTGTGTGTGCCCACGGGCAATCTTCATTTCTAGCACCCCGAATTTTGTCCAGCCCATCCCTTCACTCTGAACTTGGAAACGAAGCCCGCCGGTCTGCCTCGCCTCCGCCCAAGCCCCTGTAATATTCACTTCTTGGAAGTACATGTCTGAGCAGTGCCCCCCCAGTTGTTGTGCCAAGGCCTCTACGTTAAGCAGCGTCTTCTCGGCAGGCTCTCCCTGTGGAATCTGTATCAAGACGTGCTTGCCAGGCTGCATCAAGTCGAACCGCTCACCAAAGATGTTCTGCAAGTGCGGATCGCCAGTAGCAGCCACAGCTCCGCCGGCTCCAGCCGCGCCCATCGCCGGGGGAGCGAAACCGGCAGGAAATGTAGGATGCGGCGTCGGCCAACCTGGAGGGTATGTCGGGCTCGGCGTCGGGCTGGGCGTCGGGAAGGCCGTCGGGAAGGCCGTCGGGTAAGCAGTCGGGAAGGCCGTCGGGAAGGCCGTCGGGAAAGCCGTCGGGTAAGTAGTCGGGAAGGCCGTCGGGAAGGCCGTCGGGTAGGGAGTCGGGTAGGGCGTCGGGAAAGCCGTCGGGTAAGGCGTCGGGTAGGGCGTCGGGTTGGGCGTCGGGTTGGGCGTCGGGTTGGGCGTCGGGTTGGGCGTCGGGTTGGGCGTCGGGTTGGGCGTCGGGTTGGGCGTCGGGTTGGGTGTCGGGTTAGGCGTCGCCGCCGTGTACTCAATGTTGATCTCCAACCTGGAAGTACAATAAGTGCTCACAGAATAACAAGGACTAATGGAGTTGCTACCCCAATTCCAGTTCGGGATGCCACTCGGGTAAGTTGCGCTCGAGGCGGTGCACGCGATGCAAACGCCGCAAGCACAATTCGTCGGCGATCCACAATATCCTGAGGCGGTCGTGCCTGCCAAAACCATTGAGAGAGTCCCAGCACTGCACTTAGCGCCCCGTATGCCGTTACAGTCCAACTGGTGACCGTGCCCAGGTTAACGCCACCGAAGTTCACATTAGCCCATGCCACATCGTAACCTGCGCCGTTTTGGCCGAGGCAGTTGTACCCTGATCTGCCACAAAGCGAACAGTGGCCCGAGGTACCATACACGGTGTGTGGGTTTTGCGCCTGGCGTGATTGTTCTGTGCTGTTCTCGTCGAATTCTACCACAACTTTCACCTGGCCCACACCGTCGTCCGTTTCGTGGACGACGACGGGGGGCATTGGTGCAGGTTCACTCTGCACGACATCAGGGTCCTCCTTCCTGAGATGCTGCTGCATCAAATGAACGTCGACGTGGCGGCGCTCAAGCGAGCCGAGGGGGCCTGATTCTGCTGCCATAGTAGACGCAACACTGATGAGCCCCATATAGAAATACATCATGAGATCCATTGCCACTTGTACGGAGTGTACCGGATGTGCGTATGCCTGCAAAAGTGGTGAATCACTCTTGAGACTACTACGGAAGGGAGCTCCCGAGGCTCGTAGTCGAAATCGAACTTTGTCGGGCGTCTGGGATTGGAAGGGGGAGATCAAACAAGGACGCAATCAAGCAAGGCCCGCATCAATAACACGCTTTCGCGTTGCGGCGCTTGTTGGAACCGCGTGGACGCCCTGAATCCCGAAATCGCAATCTTCAAACTTGGAGGCCGCAAGGAAGATCCGTGTTTCTCCGCGGTGGAACCTGTTGGAAGCAGAATGTGGGGTCCGTACTCGGGACCTCTTGGAACCGCTGTTTCGAGGCCTCCGTGGCAGCCTTGAGGGCCTTTAGGAGCCATTGGCCTCTGAGCCGCCGGTGGGTCTTTTGACGCTGTTTTGGGACCGTCTCGGGCCCATCTTGGGGTCATTGTGGGCCGTACTGAGCCGCGCTGAGGGCGTTCGTGGGCCTCTCTTTTTGGAGCGTCTCCTCTTGAGCCCTCTACGGGCCTCATTCCTTCTCAGCGGTCATTCAAACATGCCCGGTGAGTCTTGCAGCGTGGAAGCCCTCCTGGGAGTGCCAAGAGACAGACCCCCAAGACACCCAGAGAAAACTCCACGAAACTTTTGGACAAACATCCGAAGAGACTTCGAGAGGCATGCAAGAGGCTTCTGCCCTTTCTGTTCGCCCTCCACCTCCTCCTCCTCCTCCTCC